TTTTTGTAACAAGGCTGGCTGAAGTCTTATTGCCAATCCTGACAGTCTGGGGCCTGCCAGTCAGAAAGTCCAGGAGTCAGTCACAGATGGTGGGGTGCAGACCCAGTGTGGACAGTTTGTGGGTGAGTTTGTTGGGGACAACTGTGTTGAAGGCAGAGCTGTAGTCAATGAAGAGTATCCTGATGTAGGAGTCTCCATTTTCCAGGTGAGAAAGGGAATAGTGGAGGGCAGTCGCGGTGGCGTCTGCGGTGGCCCTGTTCAGTCATTTATTTAGCATAAACACCCCTAAAACGTTTTACTTTCTTTTCTCCAAATGTGACAGTTTTCTGCTTTTGTATGTTTTTAAAAATGTCACTTTGCTCTGTGGTCCCTTGAGTCAGTGTGTTTTGTTTTTTTAAATCTGACAGTGATGATGTCTTTGATTTCACCCAATTTTAGGCCGTGGCTTACATCCACAGCCGCCACCCATCCTCTGTGCTGGTTGCAGTGAGTGAGGGTTCAGGCTCAGGGGTCCTTCTTTCCTACTTGGGGGAGTGTGGATCAGGTACATACCTGACTGCAGCTGCAGCCATCTCACCTGTGCTTCTGGGCCAGCTGTGGTTTGAAACTGCCATGCCTCCAGTTTATCGCTGGGGGGCGCTATTTCACAGAAAACTGCAGCTCAATAGGTGAGAAAGCACAAAATCTACATGTATTAACAGCAGTTGTAGCACTTTCATGAATACAATATTAACATAATCATTCAGACTTTATTTCATATATATTTCCCCCATGTAAGATATGCAAGCTCCTTCAGAGCAGTCCTGGATGTGGATCAGGCCCTCAGCTGTTCCTCCCTAAGAGACTTTGAGCAAACTCTTTTCTGCTCTTCAGCCCAGCATCAGCAGAGAGCTTCTAGGCCTCCAGTAAGCTCTCGGAACTCTGGACTGAGCACAGGAGCTCATTCGCCACAGAGCCTGGCACCCTCAGTGGCCTGGGCACTGGGAGAGAGGGCTTACCCAGCAAAGGACTGGGACAGCTACTGGGACAGGAATGAACCACTGAGAGATGCAGATGAGGTGGCTGTCCCTGTGCTCTGTATCTGTAGCTGTGACGACCCTCTCCTCCCGCCTGCTTCCACCCTGCCCCTTACCCTTTTCCAGAGCAATCATTATTTCCTTCTACTGTTGACAGAGAAAGGAGGGCACTGTGGATTCACTCTGGAGGGCAGAGAAGAGACAGAAGGTGGGAAGACCGCAAATGATGGGGCAGAGGAAGGTAACTGGAGTCATATTGTAGTGCTGGAGTACTTCAGAATAGTGGCTGATTTCCTAAAAAGAGAGGAGAGGGATGGGGCAAGCTGTGGTGATCCACTAGGAGAATATAGCCAAGCTGGGCAGAGGAACAGGACAAACAAAGCCCCTCCTCGCAGGAGGAGACCCAACCTGATGAGGAGACCACGACTACAGACACCTGAACAGAGCAGTGTGGATGCAGAGGAGGAGGAGAACTTCACCTGGAAGAGGTCCTATACACGCTGAGGAGGAACAGATCTTCAAGGAAAGATGTTATCAACTTTGGACAATATCTGAGTTGCTCATTATTTTCACTCACAGCTGTAGTTGGAGTTTTAAAACAAATGTTTATCAAACAGCTGAGGGAAAATCCACAAAATAAAGGCGGTGGACAGTTTTTGGAAATGTTTTCTTAGCTCAGGGGAAAAAAAACAGTAAAGACAAACAGGACAACTTGTCTAACATTCAGACAATACACCTTTGAAGGTTTTAGACAATTTATATCCTAGTTGCTTTAAGAAATAAATATCCTGTGCACAGTCTACACCAGAGGTTATGCAAATTAAACAAATAGTTTACATGTCTTTTTCAAGGTCAAGGTCAGAAATGTGTTTTCTGTACACTGAAATTCTTACTTTGCCATCCACATGAATGCCACATAATACCAGTGAAATATAAAGTAGATGAGCAATAACACAAATCTAAATAGGCAGTAAAATCACAAATCTAAGGCACTTTAAAGCAGCAAGTGAAGAGAGCAAATAAAAATATAACAAGAACACAATATAATGCAGAAAGAATATATGCTACGTGGGAGCTGTGGAGTGTAAATACTCGGCAGTGGGTGTGCTATTGTGCATGTGCAAAATGAGTATGTAAACAGTACAGATGGAATTACATGAGGTAGATCCTGAGACAACTGTTTAGGAGCCTGATGGCAGAGGGAAAGAAAGAGTTTTTCAGTCTAGAGGTCCTGCATTTCACACTTCAGAGCCTCAGACAGGAGGGTAGGGGTATGAAGTACGTGCTGGGGGTGGATGAGATCTTTGAGGATGGAGGCAGCTTTCCTATGCACCCTGTGGTGGTAAATGCTCTGCAGAGAGGGCAGTGGAGTCCTGGTGATCTTTTCAACAGTCTTTACCACCCTCTGCAGGCGCTTGCGGTCCATAGCAGTTGTGCTGCCGTACCAGACAGTGAATGCCGCTGGTCAAGATGCTCTTAATGATGCAGCTGTAGTAGTTGCAAAGAATCCTAGGTGACATGTCAAACTTCCTCAGCCTCCTCAGGAAGTTCAGCCGCCATTGGGCCGTCTTGACCAGCTGTGTGGTGTTAAGTGTCCAAGTGAGGTCCTCACTGATGTGGATGCCCAGGTATTTGAAGCTGCTCACCCTCTCCACTTTGAACCCCCAGATGAACAGTGGCTGATGAGTTCTCCTCTCCTTCCTCGTGTTCACTGTCATCTCCTTCATCTTGTCCATGTTGAGGCTGAGATTATTGTCCTTGCACCATGAGACCTTCCTCCTGTAGGCCGCTTCGTCCCCATCAGTGATGCGACCTATCGCTGCGGTATCCTCCGCGAACTTTAGGATGATGTTTTGGCAGGCTGGGCTAACACAGTCGTGGGTGAACAGGGTGTAGAGGATGGGACTGACGACACATCCCTGTGGGGTGCTGACGTTTGTAACAATGCTGGCTGAAATCCTGTTGCCAATCCTGACAGTCTGGGGCCTGTCAGACAGAAACTCCAGGAGCCTGTCACAGAGGGTGGGGTGCAGACCTAGTGTGAACAGTTTGTGGGTGAGTTTGTGGGGGACAACTGTGTTGAAGGTGGAGCTGTAGTCAATGAAGAGTATCCTGATGTAGGAGTCTCCATTTTCCAGGTGAGAAAGGGAATAGTGGAAGGGAAAACAGCCTAGATAGCTGTGTTTCTGAATTCACATTCTGGGGGAATTGGCTAATTATTTTCCGCAGAAAGAATGTTAGTGAAAGTAAAGTCAGTTCAACTCACAAACATTTGAAGGCTAAAAAAACATCCACTTCTTTTCTTTCTTGCCAAAAGTGAGAAGTTTGAAGATAAAGTTGCACCAAAAAAAGCTATCTTACCACAAAGACAGGGAGAAACAATTAAGCCGTCAATGACCAAAGGTAATCCCATTTCCCCTAAAAATTCAAAAGTGAACATCCTATCTGGAGCAACACGTCCTAGTGGTGGCTGAAGGTGATAGCATCTTATACTTGGCAGTAAAAGATTTTTCAAAAATTTAAAACAAAAAAATAACACCTCGTTTTTACACCAGCCTGGATCACAGAAGACAGTTCAATCACCTACAGAAAAGTATTACATTTACTACAGTAATGACAATAATAATAATAAGCTGAGTCTCCTTGTGACAAGTCTTAAATTAAAACAGAAAGAAAACTGCACAATTTTTGATGAAGATAATCAGTAATATGCAACAGACAAATAAGGATTTATTAATGAGAATTATCAATATCATGTCACAAACCTGGACAAGTGGTCCCTCTTAGAACACAACCAAAAAAGTCTTATTGACATCAATACGGTGCTGCACTTTTCACCCCATCACTTATTGGAAGGTTGCTGTGTGAATAACCTGAGACTTTGAGCTTATAATGTTGCGCGTACACGTCCCTACAGACAACAGCATCATTTGCATGGGGTGAAAATGCATCATGAGCATAAAGCATCTGCTGCCAGAAGCTGGTGTTCCCTCAGTGCCAGGCCCAACGCTGCCCACTAGTGGCAGAGATGAACAAAGATTTAATCAAACATTTAAAAGGAACTATCAAATATTCGTTTCTATATTTATTCATTTATGTTCTAAAATTGTTATCTTTGAAGTTATTTTATGATTATTTTCAAATTCAAAATGTACATTAACAGGTTTCCTGTACATTTCACCCCTGGAAATCATATCAACAGGACTTCCACCTTTAAACTCTATAATCTTTCTTTTTAAAGATTTCTATAATACTACATATATATTATATTTTTCCTTTTCTTTCATTTGAAGAACTTTCTCAAATAGATCAGAGAGGGAGTGAAGACCACCCCAGGCTCAGGAGGGGGAGGAAAGAGGGGGAGGAAAGCAGGAAGATCAACACCAGAACATGTCACCAGGGGTGAGACAGAGCAGGGTGTCAGGCCAGGAAAGGTTACAAGGGCATGCCAGCGGAGTTCACAGCATCACCACCCATCCTCCCACTGAGACATTCAGCAGTCACCAACCAGCAGAGGCCAAGTGAAGCTCCTCCTCGCAGCCCATGTTCATTTATTTTAATACTCACATCATCACACTGGAACATTTATGGACAACTGTGAGGACAATGTTCTCCCATAAAGTGGCCCTGAAATTTTTTTTTACCTGCTGCTGTGTTTGCTCATTTACAGCCAACTCAGCGAACAACTGCTAAGTGAGCTATTTTTCAAAAAAAAAAAAAAAAAAAAAAAAAAAAATTTACTTTTATTTAACACTTTCACAAAATTTAACCCTGTACATGCATTCATAAGATGAGTGGACATAGTGTTCGATCTACTGCCTCTATGCGAATGTGTTATATGTCTAAACACTGAGTGTGGGTCAAGACCTGTGCCAAAGTGCAAGTTACTGTCAAGGCACAGCAGCCTGTAGTGAAGCTGTACTGTACTTGACTGCTCTTGAGGTAGGCCAACAGGCGTGGTTAAATTTGTTAGAGTTTTTTTTTTTTTTTACCATAGAGCCTATCATTAAGCCAGTGCCACATTTGACCAGGAAGCGACCGCCAACAAGTGAGCACCGTTTCAAACTATTCAAGTAGGTGTTAGGTACTTCTGAAAACCCATACCTGTCATCAGAGCTGTAGGCTGTGGTGTCCCTTCGGACTGGCTGTCTACTAGGCAGGTGTGAATGAAGGGCAGAGGCCTGTGGAAACCCAAGAGCTGCTGCAGTAACGCTGAGCATGCACGAGAAACGACTTTTCTAGTTCATTCCAGCAACACATGCTTCCAACAAACAATGTAGAATTAACTGAACTTCCTCTGACACAATCTCACTGAATACATAATATGTTGGCATGAATATGACAGATCTGACACTGCAGCCTTACCTTTGGCAGTCCTGTTCACAGTACACAATAATTCCAACTCCAGGGGCTATGAACCTGTGTGGCACTGAGGACTGAAGAGTAAGTAGTTTTTTATTTCACTAAATCACTGCACCTGCTGATTTCACTGCTCAGACTTCCTCTCTGTGGAAGAGCTGCTCAGGTAAGTCACTTAGGTTGAAACAAAAGACTGCATGCTGTTAGCTATCTGGTAGCTGTCCCTGCTCTACTACTATAAAGTCAGAGATACCCGCTGGTACTCACTTACAACGACCCTCCTCTCTCTCATTTCAATTTCCACCCATATCCGTTCCTCAGTCTTAAATCAGATCCCTACATCGCCTCCTGCCTTCACATTTGCCTGCAACTGTATATGTCTGCTTAAACCTTAAAATGCTATTTTTTAAAAATCATGCACTGAATGCAGATTTTCCCATAATGCACCCCACAGTCCTACTACATCATCTGAAAGCATCAGATTTATTCCTCCTACATATAAAACAGCATTCTGCAAACAACCAGGTCTTGATAATAAACTCCACAGTAGATAATATAGTACTCTGGGTCTATGGCATCAGAAACTAACATTGCCAAATATAAACACATAAAATAGCACTGTAGACTACAGTAAAACTGACACTATTGCACTGCGGCATACTGGCTACGGCCTTCCACCATCTTGGATCAGTCTCAGGACTTTTGGGTTTCCACAGACAGCTCCTAGCAGTGCACTACTGTAAGAGAACAGAGGTGATGGGAGAGGAGCTGGGCTGAGGTAAGCCCAGTCTCAGTACTATGCATCAGATGTAGCATGTGTGGTGCATGCATGGTGTGTGTCTGTGTAGTGTTACCTTGGTGCACAACAATTTAAGACAGTTACTGGGTTGCTTGTGTGTTCTAGGTGTATGACAGGTGGGATCCATTGGAGATCTGAGAGGTGATGCTGGCGCTCCTGCTCATGCCCTGTTCACTCCTCCCCCCTGATGACGTCCTCCTCATAGCCTGTGGGCTGTTCCTCACCCCTCCCCCACCCCCCCTCTGATTTCCTCCTCCGGGTTGGTGGAGGCTCCAAGGTGGCGGGCCACCAGTCATCATGGGGTGACCCCAGGGCTGCTGTGAGCTGGAGCCCCCCTGGTGGTAATGACCATGGTGGCCACCTCCTCCGGGCCAGTGGCCTCCTCCCTGAGCCCCCTGGCCTCCTCCCCCTCCCCCTCCCCAGCCTCCCTGGGAGTCGGGAGCCAGGTTAG